GCATTTTGAGCAAGGGGGGATGGTCCAAAAACCTCTTGCTGCTTGACACGCCCACAAACCCCTTCTCTGAAAAGCCTTGCATTGTGTCATGAGATCGGGCCGTCCTGGGAGAACTGATAGGGCCAGGAACCTGCCAAAGACAGCCAGGTAGGGGAGCCGAGGTGGCTTGTCAGGCAGGAGACCCCTACCCAATGCAGGATAGTGGGAGAGAGGAGTGACCATACTGACCAATGGCAAGTAGACTCAATCATTTCTCTCTGGGATCTTATTAAGAAGGACCAGAAGGGAGGGCAGCCACAGAAAGAAGCAGAGAAGTAAAACGCCACGGAAGCTTTTGGAAGCAGTGAGAAATACTTTTGATTGGATGACCTTAGGAAACCTATATAGCAAGTAGTTTAAGAGCACACTTTCCAGGGTAAGACTCTTTGGGTTCAAAGACACTCACCATCTCTGTAACCTTGGACAACTTCCTTGGCCAATCTGGAGTCTCATTTTGCCTATATGGAAATAGTGATAAAGCCTGCCTCCCAGGGTGTTGTGCAGTTATAGGAGATCAGGTGTATGAAGTGCTTAGAGTATTCCTTGCCTGCCAGTGCGGCTGCTGAAGACAGAATCTGGGTTTTCTTCTTTATAAAACCTTTCAATAAATCCCTTGGCTGCTTTCCCTTGAAATTTGAAAGAGGCTGACATAGTAAGCTTAGAAATGAGAAAGAGAAAGCTTCACCCCAAAAATAGAGAACAAGAGGACACAAGTCAGTAATACAAGCATACTTTCTAAAAGATCAAATCAGGGGCGCCTGGGTGGCTCAGTTGGTTAAGCGTCTGCCTTCGGCTCAGGTCATGATCCCAGGGTCCTGGGATCGAGCCCTGCATCGGGCTCCCTGCCCCGCGGGGAGTCGGCTTCTCCCTCTGCCACTCCCCCTGCTTGTGTTCCCTCTCTGGCTGTGTCTCTCTCTGTCAAATAAATAAATAAAATCTTAAAATAAAAATAAAAGATCAAATCATAAATGATTACTAGATACAACTAGAACACGTTGGGTTTGTCACTTTCCTTTGCAGCTGTCACCACGGACAATTACTGCTGCCTTCTGCATACCCTTGAGCTTCTCTGCCAATGACAATACTGGGCTTAATGAACCATGGTTCTGATGGGATATGACCATTTCTGTTCTGATGTATTTAAGTACTTGACCATCACAGCTCACAGTACTAAAACCTCCTGAAGCTTGAAAGAGATTTAGGACTAATAAATTACAGTTATTTTAATGTATTCTGATGACATTATGCTTTGGAGTTTGCAGACGATTTTGAATACATTATCTCATTTGATTCTCACAGCATCTCTGTGAGGTAGGGTAGGAAACTGGTGAGGAAATTAAGGAAACTGGCTTGAGTTCATACAGGTATTAAGTAGAGGAAGTGAATTCAAACTCAGGTCTTGTGACTCTCAGTCCCATGCTACTTTCACTAAACAGTGAGTGGAAAATTTTGGAACTTACCATCCCCAGAGGTGGAACAGGCTGAACTTCAATTTCAAGAAGGGTTCGAGTTAGAAATAAAAATACGTTGCACAACAGGTGGTGCACCCCGCAGCGGTGGCATACTACGCCAAGCAGACACAGCGCTCTCTACTGCTTGTCCTGGACCTGGCTTCAAAATCCTCTCAACACAGTGCTCTGGAGAACTACTAGTCAAAGATCAGAGCAGGCACATGGCTTTAAACCTTTTTTCAGGAAGAGAAGATTCATGGGGCTTATTGAAGGAAGCTAGAAGGACCCGAGGTAGAGACTGCTAATACTGACCAATATATCCAAATCAGCCTCTTCTTTCTTGGCATCTTGTCCTGCCTCCCTTGCAGTTAGATGAGGCCACATGACTGAGTTCTGGTTGATGAACCATCAGTGGGAGTGGGCAATCCTTTCCCTATCTTCTGAGTGACTGGAGACTTTGAAGAGCTAGGGGGACGTCAGTCACAGGATGGATGGAAGTTGGGCTTCTGAAGGGCTGAATGGAGTAGCACCTCCCCGAGAGCCCACCAACCTACCCCCTGCTTTGAACTATAATTTGAGAAATGTGGGTCTACGAGGCCACTGAGATGGGGAGCTATTTGTTCAACAGTTCATCTGCACACACCAAAAAGGCTGACTTCGCATGCCTATACCCTTCCTTGAATCATCTTAATGGTGTTATTCTCAGAGGCAAAGCTATATTGGGTGAGCTCACACATTTCTCACATTCAAATTTTAAAGACCTCACAAATGTACATGATGGTGGGGTTTTTTTTGTTTTTGTTTTTCTTTTCTTTCTGTTCCTCAACAAACCTTGTCCATTTGGAAGACATCTCTAGTTGGGTGACTTTGATGGGACCATAGGAGTCTAAGGGTCAGCTACTCCCTCATTCCGTCCCCTGCAAATCAGAGCCCGGGCACTTGTTCTAGATTCTTCTGCTTGTTGATATCTGGGACTTTAAATCTTGAGCAAATGAAGCAAAGAAGCAAGGACAGTTGAGAAATCAGTCTCTGAAGCCGTAAGACTGAATCCAGCTTGGCCAGAGTCCTGTAGCTTGCATTGCCCTGGTTCCTACCCATTTTCCAAGCCTGATTCCCCAGATTAAGAAGATTCTGTGAGGTACTCAATAGCTAAGCAATAAGCTCCCTTTCTGCTTCAGTTGGTGTGGGTCCATTTCCGTTCCTTAAACCATGTGTTCATGTGTGAGTGCATGTATGTGTACACACTCCATGCAGAGGAATATTCCAGCACCAACAGCAACTGTTCTTTGCCAGGGTAATCTTTCCAAAACACAATTTCCAAATACATAATTTCTAAAACATAACCCTCTCCTGTTTCAAAAGATTCAAATTCTTCATCTATTTCAGGACAAAACCCACAAATTTTAGCATAACATCCCAGAACCTTTTTACCTCTCTCGTTTCGCCTCCCCTCACTTTTACTTTTGTACTGGGTGCTGGCCCTTGGCTTGCCATTTCTCCACACCACCGTACTCACCATGCCCTTGGCCTATTGTGCCTTCCCCTTTCTTAGCCCCTTGGCAATTCCTGCCTATCCTTCCTGTTGTAGCTCAAAAACAATCTCCATGAAATAGAATTTGATGGTATTACCTCTAGCACTATGTGTGTACTTGTTTTATGGCCCATATTACACTTTGTTGTGATTGTTCACAAGTTTGTCCTTGTTACTAGGTTATAAGCTTCTTGAGGACAGTGTCTGTCTAGTCACTGTGTATCACAACACATAGGATACCCCTGGGCATATAGTATATGCTTAGTAGGTATTTGTTGACTGACCGACTGAGTGACCATGACCTGATCTCTTTAAGGCTCTGACAATCACCAGAAGAATCATTCTAGAACAACTACAATAAAGACTGTACAATATCCAGCCCCGAGCTACCCAAAGGTGGTTTAGAAAACAAAGAGACACTGGCTATCTTGAAATAATTTTTAATGTTTTAAAATTTAACTAGTGCACACAATACATGTTTTAGCAGAAGAATGAAAATGTGTGTATGGTGTTTAATAAAACTGACAAAACAAGACCACGTTACGAAAACTTCAAAAGTAAAAGTAAACATTTAAGTAAAACAAAACAAAAAAAAACACAAAACACAAAACAACATGCTAAGGGATATGCTTTTAAAATCCTAATAGATGTAGTTGCTTAAATCCAGACTTGAGACATTGAGATTTACTTTGGGACTTAAAAAAGGAAAAATAAAGCAGCAGAATGCCCTTCATTTAAAATGCATTTAAAAAAAAAAGTCCGCACATTGTTTTCCTGCTGGCAATTGCGATATAATCAAGTATATAAGAATACCAGCTGGATTCCAATCTGATGATAAAAAAAGCACACCACCTGGTCTTCCTGTTAAGTATACCGTTTACCTCAGAAAGCAACGAGAAGTCACACTACATATTACTTTTCCATGTCAGACCCTCCCTGCCACCCATACTCCAAAGTGAACAGAGTTGAAAACTACTTCAACTTAAGTGAAAATGAAAACAAAAATCTTCAGCACCTTATAGTTTCTAAGCACAGGGCAACACGGGCGGAAGGGAAATACAGGAATAGGGGGCGGAAAACGGGTAAGACCAGTGATGTGCTCTTCAGGAAAAGTTACTTATACACAGCTGCTCAGATGGTTAGAATGGCTGATTTATATATTGGTCTTTGAGAGGAAAAAAAAAAAAAAGGATTTTCAAAATTTCCTCAAATTTTGTCAGATCCCTCCAAAATGTAAAGTTCGGAGGTAATTTATCCACACAATCATTTCCTAGAACTTTATTAAATAATTAAGTAGCACCATAATGGTGGAAGTCATAGTGAGGAGGAGGAGGAGGTAAGAAAGGAATGCTCCCTTTTACGTCCTACCCACTCTTCCCCACCAGACTATGAAGATTCAATGAGTCCTTAGAGAACAAAATAACCAAAATGTGTTTGATGGGAATAAAGTACTTTCTAGATGGAGTCTGCCCAGACTGGAGTGTTTCCCTTAACATTTCAAAAGAAGTATTCAACTCCAGGACAAGCCGAGTTCTCTAAAATCCCGATGACAGCCAGTGCCGACTTGGCCAAGTTTTGCTTTAATGCTCGAGAATGTCAAATGATAATGAGACTTAGAAGAGCATCTTGGTCACAGCGGGGTAAGAATTTAATCAGCACAGGGGGCATTTGCTAGCAAGTTATATGGTTAAAAAAAAAATCCAAAGTTCAACTATTTCTTTTTCAGATGTGAACTTCACTGAGAACAGTGATCTCCTGGGGATCTGGTTTTATTGTTAACTTCCCTTCTTATTATAAATAAATCAATTCAAACCACTCCTGCCTTATGTAAAAATATCAAAATCTTATATAAACCTTACCTATGGCCTGAGAAATGCAAGGACATTCACTAAGATATTTGTGCAAAAGTTGTTTCTCTCAGAGGGCAGGGTAAGTTGCAGGCAGAAAAACCAACCTCTAGAATAAAATTTTGGAAGGGATTTTTTTTCTATTTTCACTAAATGAACAAGTTTTATCTAAAATTTGTACATAGCTTTAAAATATTTTTAATAAATTTAAGTTCTAGACAAATACTGACAATTGGTAATATAAAATGTGATTTGGTACATTTGTGGAATTTGAAGACTTACTATGTAAGTTTCTGTTACACATTAATAATATTTAATTGTACATTTCAAATACAATTATGCTTACTTCACATCATTTATTCAGAACATCAATCCTCTTGGTGATTCTCACGACTTCCAACCCTTTAAGAAGTTGTACCAAAATTAAAAATCATTAGATTTGATAGTGACAAGTGAGGAAATACAACTCCTTAAGGTTGAATGAATAAGCTATATATGAATACTTAAGAAAACATTTACAAGTATTATATAGGTAATATAATTAATTACAAATTGCTTTCTGTCCATTAAAAACATCTCTTTTGAACTTGAAAATGATGCATGAATAGGGTCTATATGATGTGCATGTTTTCTGCAACGCTAATATTACCGGATTTCACAAATTCAGGCTAACACTGCACCATGAACAGGACTGAGAATGTGTCGCATCTGTAATGCCACTGGTGGAAAGAGACTGGGTACCAAAGTGCTGGATTTCCAACCTCGCATCCAATGTCAGTTCCTCTTTAGTTAGAAGATGAGGCATCCGCCTTTCCCATGGCTTCCTCGCCGAAGAGCAGCTTTCGAAGTATATTTGCATAAAATGGTCCGTACACTTGTTTGTTGAGATTCACAATGTTTGCATATTGAGAGCCTAGCACTTCTAGCTCCTGTTGAATGACAGCAAGGCCTCCTGGCACGGGAGGCATGCATTTTTGAGGACTTGGAAGACAAAGTAGGCTTTTCATGTATAGTTGGATTCGTTTATCTGGGGAAAAAGAAGATATCTTTATCTGTCCCATTATTAAAGAACATGATTTTTAAAAAGAAGTGAGAATAGTAATTATGGGGGCGCCTGGGTGGCTCAGTCAGTTAAGCGGCTGCCTTCGGCTGAGGTCATATCCCAGGGTCCTGAGATCGAGCCCCACGTCGGGCTCCCTGCTCAGCGGGGAGCCTGCTTCTCCCTCTCCCTCTGCCTGCTGCTCTGCCTACTTGTGCTATCTCTCTGTCAAATAAATAAAATCTTAAAAAAGAATAGTAATGGGGCGCCTGGGTGGCTCGGTCGTTGGGCGTCTGCCTTCGGCTCAGGTCATGATCCCAGGGTCCTGGGATCGAGCCCCGCATCGGGCTCCCCACCCCGCGGGAGGCCTGCTTCTCCCTCCCCCACTCCCCCTGCTTGTGTTCCCTCTCTCTCACTGTGTCTCTCTCTGTCAAATAAATAAATGAAAATCTTTAAAAAAAAGAAAAAAAAAAGAATAGTAATTATGGTAGGTGAATTGCAATAATATTCTCAATTCTTTGCCCTCCCTGTATCCACGCTCTTTATGAGGTAGCTTTGCAGCTCTTCAAATCGAAGGCTGGAGACTGTTTCCCCATGTCTTGAACTGGGGCTGGCCTTATGGCTTGTTTTGGCTGATAAAGAATGTGGCAGAAGTGCCGGGATGCTAGTTGCATGCAGAGGCTCCAAGTGCCATGGTTCACATCTGCTTTCTCTACCCACCACTGCATGTGAACAAACCTGGGCTGGATGAGAGACCACATCGAGGGAAGCCCAGCTGTTCCATCTGAGGCCATCCTAGACCAACCTAAAGACAACAAGCTTGCAAACACTTGAGAGAGTCCAGGCAAGATCAGCAGAGCTACCTACCCAAGCCACAGCTGACTGCATAAGCAAGACCAGGTGAACTACCCAGGTGCCCCGCAGACCTGTGAACAACACTATATTTGTGGGGTTTTTTTAAGCTCTGGAGTTTGAGGTGCCTTGTTACACAGCAATGTAGACAAAAAAAAATGTAGAGCACTTCTGGAGTAGGACAGGGACTCTTCTACAAACACTTAATACTTAATGTACATGATTTTAGTCATGTACATGAAAGCTGAGTTTGTAAACTGGCACTGCTAGTTCAGCCCCACACAATGGTTTTTTTTTGGGGGGGGTGGGGGCTTAGAAATAGAAACTCTTTAAAATCAGGGGATTTCACATAGAAATCCAAATTTCTGGTTTCTCTTGAAAAATGTAGAGATGCAAACTTGGGGGCCCAAAGTACCACATGACCAGGGTGACCACACACCCAGGTTTTCCCAGGACACTCAGAGTTTACACCTATTGTGCTGGCATAATTAACAAGAATGCTCTAAAAAGTGTCTTGGTTTGGACAATAAATTATACAGTTGCCCCACCTATGGCCAACAATCTGGAGGCAGTGAGGGGCTGCCCCAACTGGCACTCCAGTTGTCCATCTTCTCCATCCTCCTACTTCCCTGCTTCAACGCATCTGCATGTGAGGCGACTTTACAAAAGGATGAAATGCATAAGTAAATGAGGCTGCAATAGTATCGGACAAACAGTACCGGACAGACCAGACCCACTACAGGGCACACTGCCCCAAGGACTTCTTTTGGCTTTGGAAATGGAAACCTCACAAAAGAAAGCTTACTAAAGAGAACACAGTTCATAGGATATGGACCATGATGACATTAATGAAACTCTTGTCTCCAAACACTTCTCCCAAAAGTCACACATTGCAGCTAGGTCTGACCTAGAATTCTAAGTTCCCAATGTTGCATGTCTTGTCTTAGCCAGAACTGTTTTCTCTTACTAGACGACCCTTCCCTCTCATCTCATCTCTGCCCAAAGTCCAAAATATCCTTCAATGCCAAGCCTAAAGTTACTTCCTTTCTGTGGCTTTCCCTAACATCCGTCAGACAATCATGCCATATTACAGTTACTTGAGAACATATGTCTCTCTCTCTCTCTCTCTCTCTTCTTACACGTAGAGCTGCCTGAGGGTGAGAGCTGTGTCTTTTTTATCTTTATATCAATGGTCTGACACGTGGCAGGCACATCACAGATGCTTACTGAACTGAGAATGGAATGAAAAACCTCTGTAAAGGTGAATACATCCAACAGAGTCAGCGAGAAATGGGGTGGGCAGTCAAAGAGGACTTGGCATCACTCATAATTTGTCAACAAGAAGAAATCATTCATGTAAGTATCACTTATACAACTGAAAATTACTTTTAAAAAACAGAGATAGCTACAAGCATGCAAATAATCTACATAGCAGTTAATCTATAAATAATTTTTCCCTAGTTTTCATATGCATCTGAAAAAAGCTGATTTGAAAGAAACCTTTTCTAGTTATCTTTTTAAAAGGCTAAGAACACAGTAGGAGTTGTAATCCCATTCTAAATAAACAGCACATCAAGAACAAAAGAAGGCAGGGGCACCTGGGTGGCTCAGTTGGTTAAGTGTCTGCCTTTAGCTCAGGTCATGATCCTGGGGTCCTGGGATCAAGCCCAGCATCAGGCTCCCTGCTCAGCACAAAGTCTGTTTCTCCCTCTCCCCACCTTCCTACCCCGCTTTGTGCCCTCTCCCTTTCTCTCTCAAATAAATAAATAAAATCTTGAAAAAAAAAAAAAGAACAAAAGAAGGCAGACTATGGGTACCACAAATAGGGAAGGAAAACCAAGGCTAACTGGTCCTTCTTATGTCCCCGCGTTCCTCTGAGTGCTTAACTCCAACCCTTCTGCAAGCAGAAAATTAGTCAATTGTGTACTAAATTTCCCATTAGACTGGTTGCCTGACTCTCAGGAGACCAGGTCTGTTTTCATCACAGATACGGTCCAAACACCTTCCTGCAAGCTTGTTTAAAGAAAGAAACTCTTTCAGGGGCGCCTGGGTGGCTCAGTTGTAAAGCGTTTGCCTTCGGCTTGGTTCATGATCCCAGGGTCCTGGGATCGAGCCCTACATCGGGCTCCCTGCTCTGTGGAAAGCCTGCTTCTCCCTCTCCCTCTGCCTCTGCTTGTGTTCCCTTTCTCGCTGTGTTTCTCTCTCTGTCAAATAAATAAAAAAATAAAATCTTTTAAAAAAAAAAAAGAAAGAAAGAAACTTTCAAAACTGTTGTTATGCTGACAACAAGTTCTGTCTCCTCCGTGGATGAGTCAGTTTTTAGGCCAAGACTAAAATGACAGAAGTGTTTGTCCAGTTAGGAGCAGCCAAACTGAGACCCTGCCAAAGGCGTGCCCTTGGCTTCTAGAGTCGAAGGAGAGCTGCTCAAATGAGTCATTCAAGTTTCTAGGCAACGATACTTTGAATTAGGTTAAAAATGCTTCCAGTTTGCAAAACAGCAGGAAAGTTGGACTGGGGATAGCTGGGTGGAAAATAAAAGGTGCTTTACCGAATTTTAAGAGGCCACCTTGGGGTGGGGCATCTAGCTAGGGCATCCCAGCTCCCTTCCTTCTGAAATTGCAAGTGCTTCCCTTATCTAAAGCAAGGGCACAGAGGACACCTGGATGCTCCGGCCACCATGCCAACCAACAGCAGGGATCCAGTTCTGACTAGAGTGCCCACCAGGAGTGGTTAAGAATATGAGCTCTGAAGTCAGACTGGCTCATTGAGCGTCCCTTATCTGTAGCCAGTTGGTTATGTGAGGTACGTACCCAGTCTAAGTCCCTGATGCACTCACCCCTTGCTCAAATACAGTTGATCCTTGAACAACATGGGGGTGAGGAGCACTGACTCCTCCCACGCAGTCAAAAACTTGCATATAACTTTTGACTCCCCCAAAGCCTAACTACTAATAGCCTACTGTTGACCAGAAGCCTTACTAATAACGTAGTTGATTAACACATATTTTATACATGTATTATATACTTTACTCTTAAAATAAGCTAGAGAATAGAAAATATTAAGAAAATTATAAGGAAGAGAAAATACATTTACAGTACTGTATCAAAGTAAATCTGCATATAAGGGGACCTGTGCAGTACAAACGCGTGTTGTTCAAGGGTCAACTGTACTTATTAAGTGTCATCTGTGGGTCCAGCCTGGTACAGGGACATAGAAGACCAGAGACATGCATTCCATGCTCACAAGGCCTACACGCTAGTGGGGGCCAGTGGTATGTGGCAGAGACTGCAGACAGTCTGCCCCTCCTCCTCCCAGGTATGGGCTGTTCTGCTGGAGACAAAGGGCCAGGAGGACACACAGGGGTCAGTAGTGAAGGCATGCACAGAAGGCCTCAGCCCTCAGTCACTGCAGCTATGCTGTGCTTGTCACTGTCATCCAGAGTGATCTCTTGGTAACCCACAGTGCTGCAACCAGCACTACTCCTTTCTGGGGAGGGGTTAAAGCCTTGAGCTTTTAGTGGCCTAGATCTCCAGCATTCCATGTCCCCAGGGGTAAGGATGACAGAAACTATGTGAGAGCCTCAAAAATAATAATGACAAGTATTTGTACTCTTAGGAAAGTCAGTGTTGTACTTTGAGAACTTGCAGATTAGTCCATAGTTCCAATTCTATGCTCTTTTCCTCCTTCTGGTCTTTATTCCTCACTCTCTATAGCAGACACTTGCTTTGTGCCCCACATCACCTTCTCTCCCTCCTTCTGGCCATAGTACCCTGATTTGGTCTGGGGCAAATCCTCTCTTCCCTACTCTCAGACCAGGTGTTGCAGGGAAAGTGGACTCATCCTGGCTCCAGGAACTGAACACACGTCTCAAGCTCTGGTTCCTTCCCCTCTGGCCACCAAGACTGATTCAAGAATGTGACTTGATCTACAGTCATGCCAATGGGAGCCAATGAGACTCAATTCTGGGGTCATTATTTGGGCTAACAGTGAAGCCAACACCTTGCTTTCCACTTGACTGCAATACGGAAAGGTACAGGCTGGAGCTGAAGCAGTCTTGCCATGATGGAAAGAGTCAATCCGTGAAGACAGCCAGCCTGAAGGGAGGCAGTGCTGAAGGCAGGAGCTGGGGAAACTAGCACCGGTGACACAGTCTGAGCTCTGACTATGCCGCGTAGGAGCCAGCCCTGCTCTGGTTGGTTATAGGAGCAAAGGCACTTCCTTTTTGCTTAAGCTAGTTCAGTTCTGTCACAGGTCACAGAGAGTCCCAACTGATGCATTCTCCACTTTTCCAACTCACCAACACAACATGACACAGAGAGGGTCACTTGCCTAGGAATCAAGTACCAGAAAAGCCCACCACCATGCCCCCCAGTTCCACAGCCTCTTTACTCATTGTCTCTTTAAACCTGGCTGAGAAAGAGGCCTCAGCTCGCTTAGCCTCACTCACAGCAGAATTGGCATCTACTTTCTTGAGCATACTGCCGGCTGGTTTGGATTGTCACACTGATCTAGGATTTTAACATACTGGTAGCATTATGGTATTTTCTTCATAAAAATCTCTTGGCTGGATAGTAAGACAGAAGGCCCTGGAACATTCCCCCACTCTGTTACATATATACACAGAAGAAGCAGTGAGTCCCAGACCTTTGAAAGTACAATTTCTTTCTTTATGTTTTTAATATTTATTCTCCAAAAGGAACAGGTCATCTGTTTAAGACTAAAATGTAACTGACACTTGACATTAGTCAAAACCAGCAAGTTAAAGCAAACTGGAATTGAAGTGGAAACCAGTGAAAACACGAGGACCCACCAATCAAGGACCAGATAGGATTGTCCTCCTCTTCGATGCTTGAAAATTGACCTATGAGATTAGCTTGGGCCTCAGCATTTAAAATGGATAAATCTCTCTCCACCAGGGCCTTGTTAACCTCAACACAAATCTGAACACCGATAGAATTCAGGACTTCCTTCAAGTTAAAGGTCCTAAAAAAGGCATAAAACAAAATTGCATCAGGAATAGTTCTCTTGTTCAGCAGTTTTTAAATATTTTTTAATATACCAACTTTTTTCAAATGTCTGTCACTTTTCATTTACACACAGTAAGTACTTCTATTAGCATGAACTTAGACTATAGTAACTCCTCACAAGCACCAAACCTATGTGTAGCAGATTTTTAAATGCTTAAAACCATTAAATTATGTAGGTACTGTTTAGTTAGGAAGGCAGAGTCAGAAAAGCGTGGTCCCTGAAAATAAGTCTGCAACACCATTTTCATGCAGGACCATCAGAAAATACCTATTTACTTCTTAAAATAAACCTTTTTGTCTGAGCAGATTCATTCATAGATTTTGTTGTTGTTGTTAAATCTATGCTTATAAAATGAAGAATCGATTCCTTTACCCATGCCTGAACAGTGAATCTATAAAACCAATCAAAAACAAGAAATGAAGGCATGCCTGGGTGCCTCAATCAGTTAAGCGGCCAACTCTTGATTTTGGCTGAGGTCATGATCCCCAGATCCTGGGATCAAGCCTTGTCTTGGGCTCTGCACTCAGCCGGAATCTGCTTGAGGTTCTCTTTCTCGCTCTTGTTCTGCCCCTCCCCCCGCTTGTGATCTCTCTCTCTCTCTCTCCCCCTAAAATAAACAAATAAATCTTAAAAAAATAAAGCCCATAAGAAATGAAGATATTTAGAGGTTTATACCATAACAAAGTACCTAAAATTCTTGGCCTATCATGATCAAAGATAAGAAGCTCCTTCCTATTGTTACTTTCAAGTAAACAATCAAAAATCCCAGAAAACCATAAAAAGTAATTGGCAGTGGGTTATTTAAGAGGTAAGAAAAAAGAGGTAATTAGAAAGGGCATGCGTTGGGTCCACGCTATTGGGGAACGATGATTGAAAATGGTCTCTCACTATCCAGAAATGGTCTTTAAGATAACTTTGTGCAGAATGGAAATCAGAGGATAAGAGAACAGGGGTGGGCATGGGGGATTAAAACAATGAAGCAATCGGAGAGGCAGAGCATCTATAAAGAGATGATTTAACAACTAACTAGTTATTAAAAGTGAACATTTATTGAGCACCATGTGCCAGACACCTGCACTAAGTGCTTCACAATGAATCATCTTAAGTTCCCACATTTGTAAGTAGGCACAATTATCCCTTTTTGCAAGTGAGAAAATGAGGCTCAGAGTGATTTGGGAACTTGTTCAAGGGTACCTAACAAGTCAATAGCACAGCTGGGACTTAAACTGTGGTCTGTCTGACCTGAAGCTTGACTTCTCAGTAACCACTTTGCTATATGCTTTATATGAATACTTAAGCAGCACTGTGGGTTCTCTAAAGGCTTAAAAAAATTTCTTAATAAAAATTTCTGGAAAGTAATAGTTACCCTGTGTAGGGAAATGGTAAGGTAAGACCAGCTGCAAACCTAGAGAAGGTTTCTTTTCATTATAGGTCTTAGGTCCTGGAATGCGAAGTAAATGAGCTTGGCTGATTAGCACAGAAAACAGTAGAAAGGGCAGGGCCTTGACACAGTTGGACCAGGCCTTAGGCCTTGATTTGCCTTTTTTCTCGCTATGCAGCCCAAGGCAAATCCTATCCTCTGACAACTTTGGATGCTATAATCACTCACTCAGGGTACTGTTGGCTCTTAATATGCTAGGATTTTATCAAGTAATCTTATGTACTTTCTGAGTAATGAGCAGGAGGATGGAGGGATTCCTTCAAAGACAGGAATGAACAATGTAAGGCCTTGAAAGCCACTGAAAGGGGAACCAGCAGGAGGAGCTGACCCATATAAGACCCATGAAAACTTCTGGTCATTGACTAAGGCTAGAAATTTTCTGACTTGGACAGGATTTGTAATAGGATGATCTAAATGAAATCCAAGGTCTGATACTGGGCAATGAATTTAGCAAAAACAAGAGCTTCACTGGACTTGTGTGACATCTCTGAAGGACAGGATGTCACTACTTCTACTAAAGAGTTCATAGCAGGCTGGATCAGTCAAATTGGTAAACATTCCATTGCAGAAAAATGATGGAGTCAGAACAACTGAGTAGGAAAGCCTCCCTAATAGGGCTTTCTAAACCCTCAGCTTGGAATTGTGATTTTTGTTTGTTCCACAGCACCGGCAAAGAAGAGCTCTTGCACATGCCCAACCTAAGCAGAAATAGGACACTCACCCTGGCATTTGTCATGGAAAAGATCTCTCCCTTCTTATGAAAGGACATCTAAACCTCCAGAGATATTAAAAGAAATTCTAGAAAAAGAAGGTGTAAGATAAGCTTCTCTAAAGTACAGTCCTAAATACCACACCCAGACATCCAGGATTATTCACGATCTCTGAAACACACGTAGAGCCTTAATATGAGGATGAGCAGATAAAAACACTCGGAACTTACTCTTTGTTCATGCCTTCGAGTAGAACAGCTGAAATCCTTTTTAACCTGTTTGCAAGCTCAGGGAGGCCTTCTGTAAGAGCACCCACCATGTTGTTGGTAATTAGGGACAGGCAGGCAATAATTTTCAATTGATTCAGCTTTTCTGTCAGTTCCTGAAGACGTGCTCCATCTGTCATGAGTGTCTAGCATATTTATTTTAAATGTAAAAATAGAAAAGGAAGCTCAATACCATGAAAATATAAAACAAGCAATGTTACATCCAAACTCCCATTTCTATCTGATTTCAGGAAAGTCATTAAACCACATGCAACACTAGACAGACTAGCTGATGCACAGATCGAACTTGAGAATTAAAATATTGGAGAACTTGAGGGAAGAAAAAAAACCCCACTCACCTCTGGTAATTCTTTTTTCTGATAATCCCAATGTAACAGTTTTAAATAACTGTTATTTAGCACCAGTGTAGGGCTCAGGCTTGGCTTAGAGCTGTTTTCAGCCCCAGGAGTTAAAGCAGTCTCAGAAAGAGAAAGTAGTTCTTCATTTACAGATTCTTTTATCCATTCTGTAGTTTGATCAAGAGCACCTGAAAGTGAAAAGGCCACATATTTGTCCTACAGCTATTAGATCCCTTGTGTGCATTCTACATGACAGATGTTAAGTTAGGAGCTGGGCATGAATGACAAGACCGGCACACCCTTAAAGGAGCTTATAGTCCAGATGGGGAGACAGCTGTAAACCAACAATTACAGCAGAATACAATAAATGCAAGAAGGCACAGTGGGAGTGGAGGGAGCAGACATTGTCCAGGACAGAGTCTAAGAAGAAGAGCTCTATAAGTGACACCTAACCATACAAAGCAAACAGAGGACAGAACTGTCACTCCAGGCCAGGCAAATGGCCCATACGAAAACCCAGAACAGTGAGAGAATACGGCACATTCTGAATGCTACAAGCATATCTGTATTGCTGGTCCATAGAAAACAAGGGAGAGTGGTAGCTGATGGCACTGGGTGGGTAGGCAGGAGCCAGCTCACACATGACCTTGAATTTTGTGCAGAGAAGGTATTTAGACTAAAAGCATTGATTATTAAACAATTCTGGATCTGGACCCCCAAGTGTCTGATTAGAGCTATGCCTTTCCCAAAATGCACATTCATGCTAATGTAATGTGCACACCTTATTTTACTTTTGACTCAGTTCTAAGGCTTCCCATTAGAAACAATTTGCTTTTTATACCACATTTCTTACAAAACTGTGTATTTGGTAGAATTTATAAGGTGGAAATTGCTAAAAAAAAAAATATGCAGACTGAACACAGGTGCAGATTTTTTAAAAAGCACCAGAGAATGAAATAAAGAATAGTGACCCTGAAATTCTTCTTCAGACCCAGCGCTTGAACAGGGGTAATTTGTGAGCAGCAATACACTAGAGCAACACCACCCCAGAATTTCACAGCTTCGCTTCTCCTAAGTTGGCAAATGTTGTTCTTGGTTTTTCTAATTCTGTTCATAAAGATGTAAAAGACTTGTAGTCTTTTGTTTAAAGGACATCCAACAGAGAGAGAGAGTGGAAATCTTGGTGGATATAATTACAATGTGGCATTAATAAGCATTTATACTGCAAGTTTAATCATTTACAGCTGACACCCTTAAAAGCCCATTTAGTTATCTCAAACAAAAGCAACAGTGTACCATAGTGGTTCTCAATCCTGGATGATTTTAGGATTACTTGGGGAGCTTTAAAAAGAAAGATCTTGGGCACAGCTTCTGGAGATTCTGATTTAATCAGTCTGAGATGGGGCTCAGGCATCTGTGTTTAAACACCCCAGGTGATCCTAGCAGGAAGCCAGAATTGAGTATGACCGGTAAAGCAGAAAGAGCACAAGTTCAGAGTGAAACATCAGCTTTCCTCTAAGGGATCTATCTGCTGAGATGTTACTCCCACAAGCTAGTACATTGACTGCTCTATGTGGTTCCAAAGCCAAGGTCAACCCCATGAGACACTTGTACCCTTGATTTTTCACATAGGCAGTAATTCTCTTCATCCACTCATTTATTCAATGACAACTGAGCACCTAATGTACACTAGGTTCTGTACCAAGTGCTGGGGATTCATAGATGAGTAAACATGTTCCGTGCACTCAAGAAGCTCTTAGTCTACTAGGAGGGAGAAACACAAGAACAGGCAATGGCTTTACAGGTGCATTTACCTAAGATTTCCCAGGAGCTATGGAGGCCCAGGAGCACTGCACCTTAATTCACTCTCCACCCAATACATGCTTCTGGTTTCTTGCCAGGGAGGCTTGGCCTAACCCCCCTGATACTATCTTTGGTTCTCTCTTTACTGACCTCATCTACATCTCTCTTCCTGTGGGAAGCCTTTCTTGAACGTATGGACCCATCCTTCGCTCACCCTTCTCAGAGCACCCGTCTTTGAATTTTTGATCTGGCTGTCATTTCTCTTAAACAGCTGAACTAAAAAAAAAAAACAGCTTCTCTCCTTTTTAAAAAATTGTTATTAAATACTTCATGTGCGTTCATCTCAATTTCATCTCATTAATGAGATCACTAAAGAGTCCAATCTATGATCTTTATTTTTTATTTCTCTTTCCCTTGACTTAATTCATACCACAACTTGATAGGTATGTGAAATGTGGCTTTATTTTGGCAGACACATTTACTTTGGAAAATACTCAGATTATCTTTCCAGTGGTACTTGTCACATCATGGGTGCTCTAAAAGCCTCTGCTCTCTGTGTCTGGCATTAGAGACCTGGTAGGTTTACAATTTAATTCACAATCTCTGGAAGTAACCATGGGCTTAAAGAATGGCTCAAATAGTCTTGTTCAGACTGACAAACTGATGGGTCCTGCAGCTATCTTTCCCTCCCCACTGTCATCCAGTAAAATGTTTACTAATACACACAGTACATGCAAATCAAGACAAATTGTTTTTTGTAAACTCTTTCACAAAGCAGAGAAGGGAATAATTTTCAATTCATTATTTTATGAGGCCAGCTTTGCCCTGATACCAAACCCAGACAAAGGCATTAGAAGAAAATTACAAAAGTGATCTCTTTCCAAAAATACAGATGCAAAAATCCTTAAGAAACCATTAGCAAGATAAAGTATTAGCAAGATAAAATAATACACTATGACCAAGGGGGTGGGATAAGCATTTCAAGATTGCAAGGTTGGTTTAATTAGAAAAACATCAATCACTGTAATTCAGCATATTAACAGAATAAAGGAGAAAAAAGATCTCTTCAGTAGATACAGAAAAAGCATGTGACCAAATTTAACATGTGACTTATTTAGATAAAAACTCTCCACAAACTAGAAATAGAACTTCCTCAACACAGAAAAGGACATCTATGAGAAGCTGCAGCTAACACCATACTTAATGGTCAAACAATGAACATTCTTCCCCTAGGAAGGCAAGGATACCCTCTCTCATGACTACTACTGAACATCTGATTGGATGTCCTAGTCAGTGCAATAAGGCAAGAAAAAGAAATAAAAGGCACACAGATTTAAAAAAAAAGAAGAAGAACTAAAACTGTCTTTATTTGCAGACAAAATGATTGTATATGTAGAAAAACCTAAGGAATATTCCAAAAACTTACTAGCATTAATAAGTTAATTTAGCAAGTTCTCAGGATGCAAAGTCAATATTCAAAAATCAATTATATTTCTACATACTAGAAAATAAAAATTTTACAAAATACTATTTATAACAGCATCAAAGAGCATGAAATAAATGAGATTAAATTGAACAAAATAAGTATAGGACTTGGGGGAGCACCTGGGTGACACAGCTGGTTGAGCATCTGACTCCTGGTTTTGGCTCAGGTCATGATCTCAGGGTTGTGAGATCAAGCTTCACGTCAGGCTCCCAGCTCAGCACAGAGTCTGCTTAAGTTTCTCTCTCCCTCTCCTTTGTCCCCTCCCCCCTCAAATAAATAAATCTTAAAAAAAAAATAAGTACAAGACTTGTACACTAAAACTAAAATATATTGCTGAAATAAATTAGACTTAAGTAGAGATATCCAATTCACAAATTAGTAGACCCATTATTGTGAAGATGTCAATTCAATATAATTCCAATCATCATCCTAGCTGGCTCTTTTGCAGAAACTGATAAACTAATTAAAAGTGCATATGGAAATTCAAAGGACCTAAAATAGGCAAAACAATTTTGAAAAAGAAGAACAAAAATGGAAGACTAACATTACCTGATTTCAAGACTTAGCCTCAATAATCAGGACTGTGTGGTATTTAGTGAAGAGAAGACATAGATCGTAGGATGGAATAGAATCCAATAAAAAAAACTGAAGTAGTGATATGTGCTACAACATGGGTAAATCTTGAAAATATTATACTAAGTGGAAGAAGCCAGACACAAAAAGCCACACATTGTCTGATTTGATTTATATGAAACGTCTGTAATTGGCAAATCCATAGAGACAGAAAGTAGACCAAGGGTTGTCAAAGGCTAGGGGAAGGGAGGAATGGGGAGATATTGGTAGTGGGTGTGGAGTTTCTTTCTGAGGTGATGAAAATCTTCTGTAATTAAATACTGACAATGGTTGTATAACCTTATGAATATACTAAAAACCACTGAATTATACACTTTTAAAAATTAATGTTATGGCATGTAAATTATACTTCAATTACAAAAAAGATAATCAAGAGGTTAGAAATACACTCACAAATGTATCAATTGATTTTCAACAAAGATGCCAAAGCAGTTCAATAGAGAAAAGGTAGTCTTTTTCAAGAAATGGTGCTAGAATTGGATATACATATGGAAAAATGGAACTTTGAAATATATTACCTTGAAGTGCTTCCTAAGCCTAAAACTATAAAAACTTCTAGAAGAAAACATTCAAAAAAGTCTTCATGACCTTGGGATATGCAAAGATTTTGTACACACAACCACTAAATGCACAAATAAAAGAAAAATTTTATAATTTGGTCTTCATCAAAATTAAAAATTTCTCTTCTTCAAAGGGTAGTGTTAAGAAAATGAAAAATGCAAGCCACAGATGGGAAATTTTCATAACATATAAATCTGACAAAGGATTTATTTCCAGAATATATGGAGAGCTCTTCAATTCAATAATAAGTCAACCCGGTTTAAAAACAGGCAAAAGATTTGAATAGACACTTCACATTAGAAGATAAATGGCTATTTTACATATGAAAAGATGCTCAACATCATTCATCGTCAAGGAAATGTATATTAAAACCCAATGAGATACTACTTTCACACCCTCTATAAAAGGTAAAATTTAAAAGACCAATAATACCTAGCGTTGGTGAAAATGTAAAGCAGTTGGAACTCCCACACACTAACGGTAAGTATAAAATAGTACAACCACTTTGGAAAATAACTGCTAGTTTCTTATAAAGTTAACCATATATTTAACATAATGACCCAGACATTCCACTCCTAGGTGTTTACCCAAGGGAAAAGAAAACACATGCCCACATAAATACTGGTACACAAGTGTTCACAGCAGCTTTATCCATAGTAGACTAGAACCCGAAACAACGCAAATGTCCATCAACAGGTAAATGGA